AGAGGCAGCTCTCCTTACGCTGTTACTCGAGGTAGAGCCTGGGCCCAAGCCCTGACTTCTCTCCTTCCCTCACGCGCCACCCCAACAGCCCGCTGACTGAATTTACGGTGGCACCCAAAGCTTGGATGCCTGCCCAGGATTCCGGGAGCAGAGTCCACAGGCTTTAACGTTACAGCCTTGTCACAGCACCTGGCGAGTCAGGAAGGTCATGGAGGAGCGGTTGACCCAGGCGTAGTTCCCAGCCGCAGCCATGCCCTTCAGGTAGTCCTGGCCCTCCACAGACGCGATCCGGGCACAAGCCAGCTGACGGTCGTTGACGATAATCTTGTCTCTCTTCATGGCTTTCTCCATCGCCACCAGAGCATCTGGAACAAGTGGGGGGCGGGGTTGGGGTTAACCCACCCCGGTAAAGTTCCTCTTCTTAACTTAGACCCACGACAGAAAGGTAGGCCACAGGCGAATCAGCTCTACAGCCCGGATGAGAACAAGACAGCCTTCCCCTTAAAGCACTGCTAAGTGCACCTGTTTGCCAATCAGGTTTGGGGATTAATAGTGGTCGCCGTCAGCCGGTGTAGAGGACTCCTGTGTATAGGACGGCTCACCCAAGGGGAAGGAGTGTACCAGGCCTCAGGTACAGCAATTCTCGAGAGGTCCAGAAGGGTGGACCACAGCCTTGTTGCTCAGTCAGTTTTCAAGGAGTTTAGAGGGACAAACTGTGAGCTCTTCTGGAGCCACGCTGGGAGGCTTCCTGTTTGCTGGAGTCTCGGTTCTCCAGGGCGAGGCGGGCCATGAGAGGGACCGCTCCCAGGATGCAACGCGCACGCAGGATGAGAGGGCGGTGCCTTCCCTTCACGTCAGAGTAACCCTCTCAGCTGTGCCCAGTCCTTCCATCCACCCTGTGGCCGACCATCTAGCGACCTACCCATGATTTCCTGGGCTCCCGCTTTGGTTCACGTTTTATTGGGGGTGGGGTGGGGGGTCACACATGGCCTTAGCGTGACTGTGTTCAGTGCACAGCTCAGCTCTAACGCTGTGCCAATCAAGTCCTCCCTCAAGTCTGTCCCGAGAGGTGCGCATTGACACTGTGGCTCCCCCAGCACGAGCCCTCTCCTCTGCAGGGTCACTCAGGAGACCACGTGGGTGAGGCCCACAGCAGTGTCCTCTGAGCAGGCACCCACTGGTCCTTGCTGAAGGAACGTCCACAGCACAAGTTCCACAATGCAGCATCCTGCATTGGGTCCCCAGCACCCAGGAGCATCAACAAGCACTGGTCCTGGCCTGGACTCAGGCGTGACATGGACGCCCTCCCTTCACCGTCCCCGACAACGCCACGTGAAATCATGAGTCCGGCACGCACCTGTGGCGACCTGGTGGCCCAGGCCTCGGCTTCCGCTGTGGATCATCACGCACACCTGTCCCTTGTGGTCGATGCCCATTTTCTTGGCAGCATACTCATTGAAGATCTCATCCACGACCTGGATTTCTGCGTAATGGTTGCCTGCCCCCAGCGTCCCCAACTGCAAATGTAACAACATCACTGGTACAAAGGCTACCGTGCCAAGTGAAGGAGGGAGAATTCCCTTTAAAAGCAAAGAGCTGTGAAACCAAGCCGACCACAACAAAAGCCTGCGGCCAGCTGACTACTCCAGTGCAGACACTGGATGCAGAGAGGCAGAGCCGGCCAAGATCCCAGAGAGTGTGGACAATGAGCTTACACGTCAAACACCCGGCACTTTCTGCTCTCACGGACACCACCCAGGACACGGTTTCCTGAAAACCTGGAGGTCAGGAC